AGTGAAAAACGCACAGTCAGTTGTTTGTGTTTAAGATGTAAATTGTATTTTAAGTGTATTTAATGTGCTAATTGCAGGGTGGAGGGGAAAGCGGTGTGCTGGGGCCAGGTCCTGCGACTGCTATCTTTGATGGATGCTCTGGTGTCACAGAAAGCTTGCAAGAGTGCGGCACTGCACCTGCTGTCTGGATCTGTGTCTGGAGATGAACAACTGGCCGATCTGTTCCCCTTGCTGCTGTCTCTGTTGGTTCCTCCAGCTGACCACTCCTTACAGCAGCAACAGTGCAGCGAACTAGTGGGGACAATATTACAGTCACTGTGTGACCAGGTAAGCAGTATAGTGCACGTGAAGGCAAACATAAACAGATGCTTACAGGGAAACAGAAACAAACAGATAAAACCTAAAAAAATATGAATCTCCATCTTCACTAGGACATTTCTCTGATGGTATCTCCACCCGGTGAGAGCTGTGTGTCCGAGGTAGAGCTTCTGGCCAATTCGCTTCCAGGGCGAGAGATGATGTCATCAGTGTGCAACGCCTTGTTGGAGGTTTTGGGGAATTCAGAGAGCAGTGTCCCACTCCTCCTCACCTGTATCAGGACATTGACATTCCTCACTGAACATGACTATGGACTCTACCATCTCAAAGTGTAAAATTCTTCTTCTTGGCATTACGGCTGTCTCCCTTTTATGATCTCTTCTCTTCCTGTGAGGCATAGTGTCCTTTTCTTACTTAAGCAAGAGTTTGATTATATTTAATCTTTGTTTCAGTGCTCTAAAGAAACATGGTGCGGGTCTGTGCTCGCTGTTGAAGAGATTAGTATTTCCCTTCAACAAGGACTCAGCAGATTTGCTGTCGGCTCTGCTCGACTTCCTCAGACAGATTGTCAACACAGAAACAATGGTCAGTACCTGGTTTTATGGTTCAAGTGTATACCATGTGTACCAAGAGTGTACATGCTGTTGAAGTAACTGTAGAAATTATTGTGAGAAAAATGTTTGTTGGAAGCTCTTTAGGTTTACAGTTATAAATAGTGCTCTAAGTACAATTCCCTTGGCACATGGGAGCTAAATTACTAACTGTGCATAAGGAAAAAGTTGCAGAGTCGGATACAGTGTGTGATAGTTGGATTTTATATTTGGATCTGTCTGTGTTCTTATCCAGTGTGTTGATGAGGCCCAGGGGTCCGGCGAGGAGTCCGCCTGCACTACTCCACGGTTACTGACGGGCTATGAGATGAAAGCTCTACTGCAGTGGGAAGAGTCTGAGTCCCATCCACTCCCCACTTTAGAGAAACAGATTACGGTACAAATTATCCTCACATGTATAGTTTTTTTTTTTTGCATAATAAAAGACGATGCTTCCATGGCATTTAACTAACTGTAACTCTGTGTTTGTCTGTAGAAACTGTCTAAGGAAGATGATTCATTAGAGACTCTGTTGGAGAATGTGATTGTTCTGAGGCAGACGCTGGAAACGGCCACAGACACGCCTCCTGCAGCTGATACTGAGCCAACTCTGCCACCGCCCGAGACACTTGGAGCCCAGTTTAATCACAGGTAAGAAATGACATACATCAAGATTTTCTCTATTCAATTTATCTTCATTGAGCTGTCAGTCACAGGGAGGCACACCTATGAATATTACATTCGATTTCTGCGAATAGATCCTCCTAAATCTTACACAGTGGCCCTTTAATTTGGTTGTCTGAACATATCAAAGGAACACATGAGCAAGGTTTCTTGCACTTTCAATTTTAATAAGGCACGAATAGAGTCTTGGGCATGTGAATGTATGAACGAGGGACCATCATCCTCAGTGTAAAGGTCTAGTATGAAAGAATTATTTAAGCAGATATTCATAACAAAATGGTCTAAACGTGACTTGCACCACGGCTAAAACTATGACCAAACCTATCACTGATGACATACTAAAATGGGCTTCATTTTGTGGAAAATCTGAGAAAACACTGGATCTAATAATATGTATATCATGCCTCTATGTTGTTGTAGGACGGTGTTTATTCTGTCAGAAGCTCTGGATGAGCAGCTGAAGACTCTGTGGTTCTCTCCCTTCCAAACCGATGACATAGAAGCAGAACTTGATATGGTAAGTGTGAATGTATACATGCACTTTGAAGACCCCAGCAAAAATTATAATCCAGATTTTCTGTTGGTCAAAGTGCCAGCAGCTAGAGTGTCAAAATGTGCCACTATTGCATTTTCAGTAGATCAAATAATAAATACTTACTACATTACTACAGTGACTGCCTGAAGGCAAACGCATGTTTTTTCCTAACTTGGCTGCTATGTAAGCTTGATGACTCACGCGGGACTTTTAAATGGATTTTGAGATGCAATAAACAATTCAGTACATATTGCACACCCATGATTTGATGTGAACATCAAATATTAAACCCAATTACACATGGTAATGTACAGCTATGAAGGGCTATGTCTGTATGTATGTGGGTTGACTTTATGTAATATGATTACCACTTTGTCTGTGTGACAGGTGAAGGTTGATCTGGTGGGTCTGGCTCAGGAGTGTTGTCCCGAACTGGACCTGAAGGCAGAGCTGGAGCGTTCCTTCCTGTCCGAGCCCTCCTCTCCTGGTCACACGAAGGTTTCGAAAGGCTTCCGACTGGGCAAACACAAGCATGAGACCTTCATCACATCAAGGTACAGTTCTAGTGTTTGGGTGTATTTGGACCTTTGAAGTAATTTCATATCTCTTCTGTCCTGTTCTCAGGGAACTAACATCTTGTTTGAATCGACTGACTGGATTTCATCTCTTTCTTGCTTCTGCAGCGGTAAATCAGACTATGTTGAACCTGCTAAGAGAGCCCACATCATGGCTGTACCTCGTGGCCGTGGAGGTCGAGGAGGGTTTGGACAGAATCTCTGCCGACCTCATGATATCTTCCGTCAGCGCAAACAAAACACCTCCCGTCCTCCCAGTATGCACGTGGATGACTTTGTGGCGGCAGAGTTTAAAGACATTGGCACCCCTCTTGGACTTTTGCCCCCCAAACGGCCCCCCAAGAGCTCCCCCAAACCCCCCACCAGAGGACTGTTCACTGGCAACAGAGGCAGAGCCACCTTCCACAGCCAGACTCGCTTTTTCACTCCACCACAACCGAAAGGTGTACTGCTGTCCGGTACGTACACACAGACACACAACGTCATATTGAAGGAAATATTTATTGTGTTCACTTGATAAGACGTGTTTATGATCTTACAAGTTAGTGGTTGAAAGAAAGACTAGTTTTTTGTAGAGCTTTCTACTCCTATTTTATGGTCTTCATAAGCAGATGGAGTTGTCATAATGTTGTACCACCTGTTATCACTTTCCATCCACTGATGGACCATGAGATTTAGTCAAAGCTCAGACAAAAGGCTTGATTTAAGATTGTTTTTGTCAAACTATTAGCACACGGTACTGAATGTGTATTATATATTATTATACTGCATGTCAAAACAACTTGTTGGCCAGAAGAGGGAGATAAATCCTCTCTTTTGTTCTGTAGGTAACTACACCCGCAGAGAAGGAGGCCGTGGTTCATCGTGGAGCGGACAAGTTCCAGCTGTTACCCACAGAGGAACCTACAGTGAACCCCGCGGAGGTCAGAGCAACTTCACACGTGGACCACTGCCCTCCAGACAACCCCCAGCAAGTATGTAGTGTGCACACACACACACACACACTTTTTGTTGGATTTCACACTATGAATTTCAAAACACTGAACTCCATCTCTATTGTTCCAGGTGCATATCGGTTGGCTCCACGGGACCGAGCCCCCCGGGGAAGAGGAGGCGCCGGACTGTCGTGGCTCAGTGGGGGAGGAGGTGGCGGCAGTGCTGGCGGGGGAGGTGGAGGAGGAGGAGGAGGAGGGGGGAGAGGATCTCAAGGGAGCAAGTTCAGTGGTGGGGGAGGGAGCGGCGGTGGGAGGGGCAGACATGTTCGCTCCTTCACCAGGTAAATTCACCTGGGTAATGACTGCAGCCTTTCATGGCAACATATGGACCAATCAGGATATTATATATACTGTCTCCATGGAAACGTGGTGGGATGATGTTGTCACAATGACGTACAGACTCTGTGTTGATGTTTTATGTTTTGTTATCATGAGTTGTATTCAGAGAATAAAGGTCATAGTAACCAAGTTTACACTTTTGATTTTTATACACCAGACAAAATAATGACCTGATAAAGACAGTGATTTTATTTATTTAAGGTCCTTCAAGGTGCGTGACAAGAATTTTGTTTAAATAGTCTAAATTACACTACAGCCCAAGGTGGCCATTTTTAAAAGACCATGTAGGAATTTCCTTAAGTTCCTTATATTTTATAAGTGAAAGTAGTGACAAAGTATTTGTGAGAGTGAGAGGTACAATGATGTACAATGCAAGTTGAACCCAAAATATCACACCTCTCATGTGGTACATGTCTTTGTCAGCTGCATCAACAGGACATCCAGGTAACCATTAATAATAATAATTAACTAATGTTAAAGATGATATTGTTAGTGATACATGGTGGAGACTTTAAACTACCACACAGTATAACATGAAAGCTGTGCCAGTTGTCCTCCAAGAGTCCCTTTGTATGCCTTGTTTTTACCTTAAACAAACCTATAAAAGACTACACGTTGTAAATCAACCCTTTAGCTTAGTAATTTTGAAGTTCTGAACTAACCAACACTCATTTTACAAACATTTCCTAAGCATTAACTTGATGATGAATCACTAATGAAACTATGAAAAAATTAATCCTGAGATAAAGAAACTTATTTGAGGTAATTGTTTTTAATCCAAGAGACAGTACACAATGATCTGTTTGCAAAATTGATTGGGGGTGAGTTTACAAAATTAATAAATATTCACTTTCACATGAGCTTAGTCAAAAGATCCCTTTAGTTTGTAGAATTACAAAAAAAAGACCTGACAAACACAACATAGGGTTCATTCCACCGCAGACTAAAACTATTTAGGCCAGACACAACAGAACTTGCTGTACTTGCATTACATTTTCATTTCTAAATGAATGTTGGAAACCGTTTGCAAAATGTTACAAAAATAAAGATGTAATCTTTTCTAGTTTGGACAATCTCCCACCAGTCCAGTCTACTCAGATGACCGTCACCTCCCTGCTCTTTCTCTTGATGCAGTCTAGAGTCAGACTCCTGGTTCCACCTTTACGTGCTCCCTCACCCAGCTGAGGTGATGGAGGTGGACCTGACATATTTATGGCCTGAGCTGAATGTAGTGATAGACTGGAGGCATGTAAAGACGCCTCCCTCTGCTGGTGTCTAGTCTGCTCCGTGTGTAGTAGTTCCCATCCAAATGTCTGCTGGTCTCCCTGATGCTCGCCCCTGGCTGCTTGTTCGGTGGAATGTGGACTCCTGGTTGGCTGCAGGTCTCTGAGGAGCTCCAGCAGTTCCCTCTTTTCCAGCTCGGCTTCTGCCAGCTCCTGTCGTCTCAGACGCTCTGCCCCTAACAGGGCTCGCATGTCGCACATCACGCGGGACAACTGACCCTGCATGGAGACGACACAAGATTACTGAACACGCAACAACATGGTTCACAGCATAGACCTTTCTGTGTTTCTGACAGTGGTGGAGGAAGCATTTACTAAAGTGGAAAGAGTGGAAAAAAACATGTAAAAGTAATCACCCTGAGAAACATATATATTAAATGTATTCCTTTTTATATTGAATCTCAACTTTTAAGCCAATATAGGTGAGAGTTTCTCAGAAAAAAGACAAACCGTTATGTTGGGCAGTTTGAATGTCTTAATATATAATGAGGTTGTGTAAAATCTCATTTTGCATTGTAGCTTGCCATTAGATGGAGTAAAGAGAGTAGGATTGACAGGTGACCTTGAGCTCCTCCACCTCGTTCTTCAGCTGCGACTCTTTCTGCACCATGTGTCTCCTCTGTGAGTCCAACCGAGACTCCATCTCCCGTCTCACCTCCTCCACCTTGCACAGCATCTCTGCCCTGCCGAGAATATTAAATGAGACAAAGTAATGACCTAAAAAAACTGATACAAACAGGAGCTCTGTTCAGGAGTAGGAGAGAGTGAACACACATACATACCTGAGCATCTCTACTTCTGTGCGCAGCTCTGCCACACAGTTATGCTGTGATTGGTCGGTGGAGAGAAGGGTGTGGCCACAGCCGTTGGGACACTCCCTGCTGCGGAAGTTGCATTCTGACAGGTGAGCCTCCAAACCCCGCCTCTCTACCTGCACAGGACAACCTGAGAGGAGAGCAGCACATATATAGATAGATAGATGGACCTCACATGAAGAAACCATCTACACAGGTACCAGGTAGACAGTCTTCCAGCACATCTTAGGAAAGGAAATTTGTTTAAAAATAGATAAGTCACACAAGAGTGGAAACAGTACCAAAGTATTTCACACGTAGAAGTGCAGTTACTTGACTTTAGTATGACTTATACATATTCAATTATCTTGAAAGTTATTTAATTAACACTATAAAGTATATATGAAGACACCCCCTCTTTCCATTTAAGTAGTGCTCTTAAAAGTGCTGTCCATTGACCAACATAGTGGTTGGCTATTCTGTAATTATTTCAAGGGTAAATCCTCAACAATCTGCTTTCTACTTGGAAGTGAATATAGTAATTACATATACAATAGCAGTACTGGAAAAGGACTATAAAAGTATAATATATTAATATAAACCATGCCAGCTTTTACACCCCTCACTGCAGTTATTATGTTTCATCTTCAATGTAACAACCTCTCTCAGATCACAGCAGTCGTAGACAGCAACAGAAGTATCAGGCTGAATGTTGAAAGAAAGCCACACTGCATGCACACACATTGTAACTTTACCTACCACAAAGGTAACATATGTACTCTCCACCTGCCAATGACAGGTCACATTCACATTGTGAGTACAAGAGCACATGCTTGTATACACACACACACACACACACACACACACACTTTTAAATAGCTCATTAAAGAGTGATGGAAAGTTGACCGTGAATGCACTCTGTGTGAGGTCTTTGAGAGCTTTCAGTTCTGAATAAGTGCCATTGGTGCACCAGTTTGAGTAGTAGCCATGACAACAAAAGAGCCACCTGTTGCTCCCACCCACCCCCACACAGACACACACACACAGGTGTCCCATTACCTTTATATCCCACACATCCACATAGATACAAACACTATCAATGACCAATGAACTAATAATAACAAATGACACATAGATAAGATCTGTGTGAGATTTTCATACCTGTGTTAGAGCAGGATATGAAGGCAAACTCGCACTCATCCTCATGTGTGTGGAGGGTCTCCAGGGAGCAGACCACCTCACAACCCTGCGCTGCATTCACGCAGCGTATCTGCAGACGGGTCAGGTCGTTACGCATGTACCTGTCATCAAAGACAAAGACGGTGTCAGAGAATCAAGGGTAAACAGTGTATTTGTGTGACCTTACAGTATATTGGAAAGAAAGTGGGAAACTTAAGGATGGATAATTACAGTGACAAGACAGTGACAAATGTTCAGAGATGTAGACAGACCTGTACAGTGGTTTGAGGCTGCCCACATCCAGTGGCAGTCTGTCCTCGGGACAGGAGTGATGATGGACCAGCCAGCTGCTGATGCAGGCGCTGCAATATGCATGTTCACAGGGCGCCTGGAGGGGGCGCTCCAACACGTCTCGACACACACAGCACAGGAGACCCTCATTCACATAGCCCACAAACCTCTCCAGATCATAGCCCATCCTGCAACCACACGGATAGATTATACAAACATGACAAAAGGGAATAAAACTCACCAGTCTCCTTTGATTGTTCTCTTTTTAATGATCAACTCTGACAATAATGTTCTCACCTGACAAATCCAACTCTTTCTTCTTTTATTCTGCTGTCGATTTCCACTCCTCTTGTTCTCCCACAGGTCACCTCTCCCTCTTATCGCTCCACAACTACAGTCTTTCCTTCTTCATCCTCCTTTGACTTGTTGCTCCATTGAGGTGAGGGTCTCCTTTTCCCTTAAAGCCCTCCCCTACCTTGGGGAGTGCGTCTCCATGGAGAGGTAACCCTGACAACGAGGGTTCGGGACACAGGCAGGCAGCTGTCAGACGAGATCAGATCAGATCAGAGAGAGGCAGAATTACAGGAGAAGAGACACCAACACTCAGAAACAGGCACATTTTGCAACAGTGTTTTTCCTCACTGCTTTACCAATAAAGCTGGGTTCAGAGATTACTGCTGTCCTTCAACTGTTTCTGTCTCTCTTCATGATCCACCCTATCCCAGGTTTCCCTCTCCCTCTCTCTTTCTCTCTCTGTCTCTGGACGTGGGATTAACATGGATTACACTCTCTCTCTCTCCCTGATTGGATTACAGACTGCATGACATCAGATGACACAGACCACAGAAATCAAAGAGCAACCCAAACCCCTGGACTCATCCCGACCCCTTTATATAATGAAAATAGAAGTTAAAAAAATGTACATCCATTTTTGTCAGACTCAGTGGTGGAAGAAGTATCCAGATTATTTATTTAAGTAAAAAGATCAATACCACAATGTAAAAACACTCCATTACAAGTAAAAGTTGTGCTCTTCAGTTTTCACTTCAGTACAAGGGTGTAAGAATGTATTTTGTGTATCTAAAGTTAAAGTACACATTATGCACCTGTCAGTGTTATATCATTAAATATTATATTATTGATTATATATAATTACTGATACATAAACACGGAGGCTACATTTCAATGTTGTTGCAAGTCATAGGCATTATATACGCTCATTATGGTTTTTGAATTTAAAAAAAGTTGAATTTCAAAGAAGTTATGTACTTTGACATGAGTGTTTCCATCTTATGCAACTTTATACTTATACTCCACCACATTTGTTTGACAGCTTATGTTACTAATTACATTTCAGATCAATTTTTCATACCGTCCATGTCCATGTATCTTTAAAAAAAAGCTCATGAAAGGACAGTGAAGCTACAAACATATGATGGTCTTATAGAATATGGTACATTTCTGTAAATTAAACTACTCAACGGTCTATAAAATAGTTAAAATGAGCTCAACCATAAACATCTACAGCAGTAATATGTAACTTTAATGTAATATTAATCCAAAAACATCACACATAATAGCAAAACACTGACAGGGACCATTGTTGTGTAGAGAATGTACTTTTACTTTTGATTCCTTAGGTATATTTTCCTGATAGTAACAAACTTTTACTCAAGTTAATGCAGAACTTTCACTTGTAGTGGAGTATTTTCACTATGTGGCTCTACTTTTACTTACGGTAATGATCTGAATACTTCTTCTTTCCCCACTGTGTCAAAGTATAAATATAATCAGAAGCATTATCAAATAAAATTAATATTAAATTAATATATAATAATTGAAGATAACTTTACGTCCACATCAACATGTGTTAAAGATGTTATTCTCCTGTCATTGAAGGTGTGAAGTGAGGTCACACCAGGTGAGCTCGTTTTATACCTCAGGGATTGACGGGTTGCGGAAGTTCAACTGGGACGTCACCGGTAACCTGCTGTGACGTTACAAACCCAACGCACCCTACTCGCCGTTGGCCACGCCCACTACCGGGCGTTCAACCAATCAGCTTCTTCCAACCATTCAGCGGGAGAAACAACAGAATCGAGAGTTATCGTTACACAGAGGAAAATACAAGACAACACTACTTTTTGGGGGATTTAAGTGACAACTTTTGACCTTAAGTGTTTTTGTTGAACCTTTACTTCGTCCGGGTATGTATGAGACGTTGTCAAACATTAAATTACAGCCGAGTTTAAACCGAGTCAGCAGTGTTAGCGACTGTTTGTTAGCTGGGTTTCAAAGGCTTTCAGAGATGTGTTAAAAGTGACACATCTTTTATTGAGTGTGTTAGTACTATGTTAAATGTCTAAAGCTACCACAGTCAAAGTGGTGCCTTCAGGTAGCTAACAATAAGTGTGTTTGAGTTGTTCTCATGAAGGTGAAACTATAAGACAATGTTTGTGTCTGAAGTGAACAACAGAGAGAGACACCAGCAGTAAATGTAGATTCTGGAAAATATTTTCTTCTAATTGTGTCAGAGTCCCCTTGGAAGATCATAGGGCTCTTCCTGGATCACTTATATATATTAGAGATGCACTTTATGGTAAAAAAAAAAGTCATAATGTAGTTATTTTGACAGATATTGCGATTCTGTTATGATTCACGATTGGTGTGGGAACAATTAATAATTTCCACTGAAAAAACTAATAAAATCATGATTATGTGACACTTGTTGGGGTCTGTACCAAACAATGTTTTCTCACATCTGGAGAAAATCATTTGTAGATCAGGTCCTTCATTATAATGCTGTTGGTTCACACATTTTACCTCTATCAAAAAACTGCAGCTTGTGTGATCTGAATATTGCACCAGGCCATATTGCCATAATATTTGATAACATTGGTATCAATTGTACTGCCTTAATAGCAATGCCAGTATTAATTATTGTGTTTTCTGTGTGTAGGTTTGATTACTGTGGGTTTCCAGTAGAAGAATGCGTCGATCAGGAGCTCCCAGTCAGCTCTCTGGTAATGCAGTGAAAAAACCCCGGTTCCTGCCTCCTGGAGCTTCTACTTTATGTCCCGTGGCTCAATCCAAGCCCCTCGCCCCTAAACTTGGTTTGGGAAATGCACTGGAAAAGGTAAATTATTCACAGCATTTCTTTTAACCACTCAGTATTTGGATTCCCATCATCCAGCGTTGTTTCAAA